AATAGTGTAACATTTTACCATATTTAGTGCAACACTTTTATTTGTTCCCCACAAAATATTGTTTTTTCACTAAATGCTTGGATTTCTAAAATTGTTGTGCACTGATTTTTCTAGAATAACTTTTGCAGCCGAATTATCCACTATCCTAGTTTATGATATATTTTTGTCATAGATTAGGAATATACATATATTTTTTCATATTTATTGATCGGTATCGGCCAATACTGAACCCTAGGTATCGGAATCGGTATCGGAGGTGAAAAAGGCGGATCGGAGCATCCCTAATCCCTAGTGTACAGTGCAACAGCAAAGAGCTTTTTTACGTTTTAGAGAAGCCAAGTTGCGATACCGAACAGGATCACATGGAGATGCCAAAAAAAAAAACCTAAACCAACCGCCTGCTGACTGCATATATCTACTACAGCAGTGGTTCTCAAACTTTTTACAGCGGCGTACCCCTTGGGGAATTTAACATTCTTCTGCGTACCCCCTCTCTTCCACTTAGACAGCAGTCACACCTTTTCTATTAAAGGACATTATTTGCCCCCTTAAATTGATTTACAGGTGTATTTTTTACCTTTATAGAGGCAAATATTTTCTATCCTTATTAATTGTATGTCATGTTTTATGCCATATTCTTAACATTCCATTAAGTGTATTATTAATATAATAAAGCAACAAAATATGGCAAATCGAAGTGATACTTGTAGATAAAAAATAAAACCGGCAATAGGTGGCGGCAAGTATAGCTGTCTTACTGAGCCAGGCATGTCCATTCATTCATTCATTCAGTAACGAAGCAAAATGCTGTAGTTATGAATGGGTTATTAATCACGGACTCTCCAAATCGCTCGAAGCCGCAGATTCGTTCACTAACGAAACACTACTGTATGATGCTTGGAGACGCACACCAGATGATACGGATTTCATTGGAACTATTATTTCGTTGCAAAATAGAACAAACATGACAATATTCTGTTTAAAATGTAGGCTACATTTAAAATGTAAAATGTTCACTTAATATTACCTTTTTCGTTGAACTGTTGTAAAAAAAAATCGTCACATTTGCCATCGTTTGGATATTCAGGGAAAGAAATTTGCATTCTTGCTCGTATTTTAAACATGAAAACAATAACACAGGGTATGTGTCTGAAGAGAGTTTAAATCGATCTCAATGTACAGTGCATGTCAATATTTGCTCTTCATGCTATTA